TTATGTGTTTGTACGGCGACCTTGAGAGCCTTGAAAGGCGCCTATATAAAATAAATGAATTAATATTATTATTATGGTCCGAAAAGGAGGGAACATCCAGTGAGCGGCAGTTCTCTGGGAGAAAATGCCCTGTTGATACCAGAGGTCAGAGGAGAAAGGCCAGACTGGTTCAAGGTGATAGAAAGGCAACAGTTACTCAATTAACCACTAGATACAACCAAGGTATGCAGAAGACCCTCTCTGAACCTCCACACGTGGAACCCTGAAGCAGATGGGCTACAGCAGCAGAAGACCCCACCGGGTGACCCTCCTGTCAGATAGGAACAGGAAACTGAGGCTACAATTCACACGGGCTCACCAACAATAAACAATAAAAGATTGAAAAAAATGTTGCCTGGTCTGATGAGTCTCGAATTCTGCAGCGACATGTGGACGGTAGGGTCAAATTTGGCGTAAACAACATGAGCATGGATCCATCCCGCTTTGTATCAACAGTTCACGCTGGTGTTATGGTGTGGGGGGTATTTTCTTGGCATACTTAGTACCAATTGAGCATGGTTTAAACGCCACAGCCTACCAGAGTGTTGCTGCTGACCATGTCCATCCCTTTATGACCACAGTGTACCCATCTTTTGGTGGCTACTTCCAGCAGGATAACTCCATGTCTCGAATATCTAATTATCTCCAACTGGTTTCTTGAACATGACTTCATGAGTTCACTGTTCTCAAAAGGCCTCCACAGTCACCAGATCTAAATCTTATCGAGCAGCGGTTTTCAAAGTGTGAGGCGTGCCTCCCCTGGGGGGCGCCAGAGAGCTTCAGGGGAGGGGCAGCGTGAGAAAAAAATAACGAGAAACAGTGAAATCTAGCTGGTTAACTTCAGCTAACTTTATGCGAGCGGCAACATGGATCGATTTTTAGTGAAGTTACATAAAGTGAAAGAGGAGACAGCGTCTGGCAGAAAACGTCAGCTTTGTTTTGAAATAAAAGTTGTGGCTCATCGGACATTTATGAGAGAAAATCCCTAATGTCCGAGTGCAAGTGAATGCAGTGTGACGGCCACACATTGATTTAAGGTGTTTTTTCTAAACTGTAGTGGCAGGGGAAAAGGTTTAAGGCATGTTAATTATCATGAAATGAAATGAACTATGACATATGTATAATATCCTCGCAACTGCAGTTCTTAATGTCCACTGTTATGTTTGAGTGTGTGGGTCATTAAGCCTCATCTACATGTTCTCTGAGGGGAGGCTCACCTTCCACACTTTGAAAACCCCTGCTATACCTCATTCACACCAACGGTGTTTCAGGGCTGGTTCGGAGCTGGAGCTTGAAAAGCACCAGGTTTTCCTGTTCACACCGCAGCGGAGCAGCCTCTTAGCTCCGGAATCCGGTTAGTTTCAAGCACCAAAAAATTGTCCGGCTAGAGCAAAAGCACCGCATAAGTCACGCTTACGTCGAGGCTGGGGCGTCGAGGCGGGGGCAGGGGTAGGGACGGGATCAACTCCTGAGCAACAACAAAAAGCCTGCGTTTTATCCAGTTTGTACACAACGATGGAGAAACGTAACAAGCAGCAGTGGTCCACTGAAGAGACCAGCTACCTACTGGGAATCTGGTCTTCTGAAGAGGTACAGAGGAAGCTGGAGCACAATCGGCCATTGTTGTTGTTGTCGGTGTGAGCTGTGAGGGGTTTCCGCGCGGTTTGGCTTTATGAAGCAGGCACGCAAACGGTTACGTCATGATGCAAACGATGACGCAATGACGCAGCACCAGTCGGACTCTGGGCAGTGTGAAAAGAAGAAGCGGTTCTGAACCTGAAAATCTCTAGCACGGAGCTTGAACTGGAGTTGCATTGGTGTGAATGAGGTACTATAGAGCACATTTGGGATGTGGTGGAACGAGAGATTCACATCATGTGCAGCCGACGATCTGCAGAAACTGCGTGATGCTATCATGTCAATATGGGCCCAAAATCTCCGAGGAATGTTTCCAGCACCTTGTTGAGTCTTTGCCACGAAGAGTTAAGGCAGTTCTGAAGGCAAAAGGGGGTCCAACCCGGTACTAGCAAGGTGTGTCTAACAGGCTTGGATTTTCGTCATTTTAGGGGCAAGGCCATTTGGCCTTTGGTGTCACGCGCAAAGCCACATGCCAGGGCACAAAGGCCATTGAGGGAAACATTTGGATTTGGAGCTTACAAATAAATAACTTCACTTTCTAATGAAAAAAAACAAATCACTTTTTTAATATCAATAATCGTATCATCATATAGGCCTATGCCTCCTTAGTATTACCATATATAAAATGAAATACTTTACTTTGAATAATTAGTGTTTGGTATGTTTTCCATCTTCTCCCATTCACAAATCCGAAATGAAATCTAAAAATCAAAAATTCTATTAATATGTAACAAATATATTCCATTTCAGAGCAGAAGAAACAGCCTTCAAGGGTCAAACTCTGCACATACATCATTCAGCACAGTGAAGCTCCAACATCCAACTGTATGAACAAGCAATACTTTGAAATGCAAAAGTGTGTGTGAGAGTCTCTTTAATCAACTCCTCACAGCTCCTCATATCTGTTCAGAAACTAGACAAAAGTTAAACAAGTACAAACCACAGACTGTCTGTGTCATGGAGAATACAGTCGCTGCTTTAATTCTGTCTTTAGGACGTTGTTGTTAGTGTGGACGGAGCAGCTACAACGCTAGTTTAGCCTGATGGATCCAATCTCCATTCACAAAACGCGCATTTTAAAAGGTTTTGCATGCCGTCTTGTCTGCACACTTGTCAAAGCATTAAAGCATGGTTTTTACTAACCGTTATCAGTATTTAGTTACTTGTGCATCATTTTGAAACGTGTATTACAATTAAATCACGGGTTAATTTTGTCGTAGTTGGTTTCTACCACAGTATTCACATGAATATAAGCCCCGCCCCCTCTCCAGCGTGTCCTGTTTGAATGACAGGAGTAAACAGCTGACAGCCGCGGTGAAACTCCAGCGGTTAGAGCAATGCGAGTATTCGCATCGCATCCGTTGTGAACGCAGCATAATGCAGTTCAGAAACCACTGTTCTGACGCTTTTAAAGCAACTTTTAATAATAATAATAATAAATCACATTTTTTATTAGAGTGCTTTTACAGGTGCTCAAAGCGCTTTACAAGTACACATTACACATATTAGACATGTAAGAGTCATTACTGCGGACATTACCCACAGGAGCAAATGCGGGTAAAGTATCTTGCCCAAGGACACAACGGCCTGATGCAGTGGCGGCCGAGGCGGGATTCGAACTGGAGTTCACCAACGCCCCTTGATCTGATGACCAGCGCTCTAACCACTGCGCCAAAACCACCCCAACAGTGTGAGGGGCCCAAAGGCCATGGTGGCCGTAGGACGTACAATTATTTGTGGGGCATAACGGCCAGACCGAGGGGCTACGACGGCCATGGCCGTCATGGCCGCCGTGAAAATCCCACCCTGGTGTCTAATAAAGAGGCTGGTGAGTGTATATTGAGAGGAAAAATACTGGAATCTGGCAATATGTATGCATTTCTGGCAATATGTATGCATTTCTTTTATGTCGGAAAAAAAAACCCAACTAATATAATATCCTCTGAATTTGAGTTTTAAGTGCAATTGGGGATTTCAACAACTACTTACAAATGAACAATTAAAAGTGTGTCATCTGTATTTTCTCCAACACAATTTCTGGAGGAAGATGTGCCCTTCAAGTGTTTTTTGTTATTTACCCCTAAAAGCATGGTTTCCGCAGGGACTGCATGTGTCTTCTTCTGCGGCTGTACAAGGCCTTCGTTTAAAAACTAGTGATTGTTCAAATTCAAAAGATGAAAATGATCCTTTAACAAATCCTATTGTGATTAATCATTCCCTGAACACATCTCCTCCCACAAACAGTTCTGCAAGAAAGCAATTTCCTAACATGGACATGTGTGGTTTAACAAGTTGAGAAAGTTGATCAAATTGATAAAAACGCTTTTACTCCTATTCCGCAAATAGGAGGTCCAATAAATGCATCCCTCTTTGGACTGATGTTCAACTGTGAGCTGTTTGATAAACACAGGCACTGATTCGTGAAATGATCTCCAATTTGTCTCGGCTCAGAAACTTGTTGTCACCCTCTCAATCTGTGCAGCAGATTAAATCCACATTTGTTCAGGACATTCAGGGATAACTGCTGCCAGATGACACAAAGCAGCCAACATAGCAGCTACATCTAACATGTCCGCCTCTTGGGATTCTTATACACCTGGATATAGTGTTTGTTTTTATTTATGAGCATAACACTTTTTAAATCAGCAATAATGCAACAATTTAGATTGATTGCATTTTGTGTGGGACATTATAGGCAGATGACATCAATGCACAGGAGACAAGCCAGCATTTCACTTTGATAGCTCTTTTTCTCTCACCTCAACAGTAACAAATGAGTAACTTAAATTAAATGTTGCTTCGACACCTTGAAAAACTGAAACTGAGAATGGGACGCATCACACCGAGGTTTGGTCCTGCAGGCAGCATGCGAGCCACAGAAGAATGGAAAACAGAATAGATTTTGACATGACGAGGAAGATGAGGAAGGATGGAGCCAGCATGCACCACACAGGCAGAAAGTACATCACATAAGAGAAGATGGAGCTCATACTACAGTCCTCACAGGAGGAGCTGGATCACAAACAGGAAGAGGGGTCTTGATTGGGTGGAGGAGACTCATGTCAGATCAGACCAGGCAAAATGTTGCGTGTGGGTGTATAAATATATTTTTGGATTTGTGGTGCCACCAAACATTATTTATTTAGACGTTGAAGGAGAAAAAGAAAAAAAGCAAGGCTGAGTAAGCACGAGAACCACAACATTGAAAACAAAGACTCAAATAAACACCTTTACAAGATAAAAAGACAAAGCATGGGAGGGCTTTAGCACTGAGGGTTTCTTACAGTACGACACAATGTCTGAGTGACTGATATGGACTGTACCTGAGGGCGTCTGCTGGGAGGACTCCTCTGTCTCTGCTGCAGGAGCGTCTTCCCTCCCAGCGGGCGTCGTGTCCTCATCTTTCTCTCCAGGTGATCCAGAGGAGCTCTGCTCAGCCTGCAGGGCGGCTGGAGGGGAGTCCAGTTTCTCAGCTGTCAGAAATAAGTGTACGTTACAGTGTCATTCTTGCAATCTGTTTTACCATCCAAGACACTTGGTGCAGCCCAAAACACTTCAATGGTTTTTCTTCTTGTGTCACATGGGGTTAACATTCTTAGTTCAGAGTGAAATACAGTATATTGACAGACAATGGATGGATTGTCATAATACTGCACACATTGAAGTCCCCAATTAATAACGTTAGGGATTAACGGGCACATCTTCTTCATGACAGAGCATTGTGACTGGCTCTAACTTTGCTTAGAGAAACCTGGGACTAAGATGGCTACGGGCGTCTGCGCGATGTTGGCAATGTGTTTATCATTAACCTGTTTTGAGAACAAAAATAGTTTACAAGGGCACAAAGATCTTCAAAAATAACCTCTTTCTTTGCTGTTAAAGTACAAATGTTTAGGTTTAAGGTTCACGCAGCACAGCTTCACAAAATGATTGATGATCATTGAGGATCTATAATTTGGAGTCCTACTTGTGTCCTTTTTTAGACTCTACCTGGTCAAGTCCTGAGGGAAATATCTGGCTCTCTATGTGCTAAATGCTCCAGTCAGTGTTCAGCGGCTAGCCTCTAAATGTGCCCGTCTGCTGTTTGCCGCTGAGCAGGTACTGCACATTGAGTCTTTCTAGCTGTTTCTCTGTAAACAGCTGCCTGATGTGGCCGAGCACATCTCCATGAAAGCAATGGAAGTCATTAAAACACTTGAAAAAAAGGGCTGGACAGGTAAACAATGTGCTGCTGATACTTTGTTCTTGAAAAAAAAATAGATTATTGTGCTTAGACATCAGTGTTATTATCAGGTTTAAAGCACCTTTTTTTTCACAGAAATTCACTGTATTTTACAGACCGTTCTTGTTTTTCTATATTAAGTGTAAATACCATAAAAATACAGTAAATTACTTTTATTAAAAATAAATAAAGGTTTTATTCTGTAAATTGGTTTGATGAGAAATTATCGTTTTTTTACAAGATAATTCCATTGTTTAATTGTCTTGAATGTTAAATGACATTGAATTCTATGTAAAAACACATCAAATACACAGTAAAACCTTAAATTGAATGTAACAAAATGTAAAAAAAACTAAAAACTGTATTCTGTACTGTTGTAGTAGAATAAAAATAAATCTTATTATAAAACATCTCTTGAATGTTAAATAAATGTATAAATCTTCACAACATTTTTGATATATTACAAATACCTAAAAATTATTTTGTTTAAATAAAATAGTTTTCATATAGTATACTAGTATAGTTAAAGGTGTAGGGTGTACAAAAACATTATATAGAAACTACAATACTGTAACCTTTTGCAAGTATATTTATTTATACTACTGGCGGAAAGTTTGTCTCGAAACTCTTTGTTTGCAATCCACAAAATTGAGATCCACAAACACAAAGTGGATTCACAAATGCCTGATCGGAAATTGTAAAAAATATTTGCAAATGCGTTTTTTGTTATTTGTAGATCTGTTTTATATTTGATAGATAGATTGCAGATATACACACGGATTGTCATCTGTTCACCGATAACTCACAGACAGACAAACACACCCATGTGCATGCTTTATTGCACACTTAAATGTAGCATTAGCTTTGTTCTGCAACCCAGGTTGGCAACCCATTCTCATGGCATTTCGTGTTATGAAATTTGATCTATTGATTCGTGTACTGGAATCTTTATTTACTTCTAATTCGTTATTCTTTTCTAAACCACACACTGTTATTTACTCAACAATAAGTCACAGTTAACCTTGTTTTATTTATGTGTTTAATTGTATAATGTCAGACCGTTTTGCCGTCCGTCAGGACCGAAAGTCGGAGCGCATCAGGACCCTGGAAACTGTATTCTATTACTGTCCACACATTGGAATGATTTCTTACAACTAGGCTATATTAAATAGATAAAGGTGAGCTCTCTCTCTCTCTCGCTCGCTCACAGAGGCTGTGTGCTCCTCCGTGGTGATGACGGCTTGCGTTAAAAGATAATAATAAACATAGGCCTATTTGTAAAGTGGGGGGACACAAACGGGATTTCGAAAAGTGTCACGGTTAAACTTATGAAGTGGTGAGCTCCACATTGCTTTTCTTCCCGACTGTAACGCTGTTGTGTGTGCGTGTGTGTGTGTGTGTGTGTGTGTGTGTGAGAGCATTTCACATGTGCGTAAGAGAGATTTCTACATATGTCTGCCGTTGGTGGGCTGCTGCCTTCGGTGGGCCGCTGGCTCTGGCATAGGTGGGCCGTGGACTTTCACAGCGCCCCACCCACCGCCGCAAACGCCCGCCGTTGCGAGGCTCCAGTGCTGTAAAAGTCCACCGCCGTTGCGAGTCTGCGGCTGTAATAGTCAACTACCGCCCGCGAGGACTCAGGTTCGATTCCGGCCTGAGGTCCAAAAAGTTTATTTAAAAATAAATAAATAGAAATCTCCCGTTCATCGCGTCCATTCGCGACCCACCTATCACATCTCTGCGCCCCACCAGTGGGGCGCGCCTCACACTTTGAGAAACGCTGAATCACACACACACACACACACACACACACACACACACACACACACACACACACACACACACACACACACACACACACACACACACACACACACACACACACACACACACACACACACACACACACACACACACACACACACACACACACACACACACACACACACACACACACACACACACACACACACACACACTAAAAGTTGTGTTTCATTTAAGGTCTGTACTGTAATTCTACAAAAAATTAATCATTAAATGTTGTGTTTAGATTGTACTTCTATAGGTTTAACATGACATACTGTCTTTAAACATTACATCTAAACAAACACTGCAAGCTAAAGTTTGCAATGATTTAATCTGTTTTAGCACTTGCTTTCAAAATAAAACTGTTATTTTACAACCTAGAGCAAGTGTTAACACTTTATTGAAGGTGTTTGGTGTTCTGTGAAATAACAGTGTTTCTCTGCTGAGTTTTTAGTGCGTCAATTTATTGAAGGTGTTTGTCATAATTTCGAAAAAAACTGTAAAATAACAGTTACTCTAAAGTATGTCCATAATAAATAACACACTTTTAAAATACTTTCTGCCCTAGAAATGATTTATAATCATTACCGTTATTAAGGGGCTGCAGGAACACTTTCCCCACGTTTCAAACACTTATTCCTGGGTAGAAAAGCCATGTTCTAACTGGCACTGCTTCTGAATACTGTGAATTTACGTTTTTTTCACATTATTGTAATTAGGGTATTTCACTGTAATTTGACGGAAAGTGTTTGGAAGCACCAGCTGCCAGACTTTTTACAGTTGTTTTTGCAGTGCAGCCTCACAGAGATGCTAGCATGAGTGCAGACTTGTAGCCGTGTTTAGTTTGTTATTTGAGTTTTTTCATACCTTTTGTTAGAGCAGCAGGGGTTTCCTCGTCCACCGTCTCTGTAACCTCATGGACCTGAGAGGGGGCGGGGTCAGATGGCAGTGCAGCGGGGGATTCTGTGGGGTCGGAGTCTGGTTCTGACACTATGACAGACTTTTCTGAAGGAGAGGAGACATCTAGGGCTGAGCGTAGGAGATGGAGAGGAGGTGAAGAAGGGATACAGGAAGTAGAGTGAGAGGAGGCAGGGATGGAACGAGAGGGAAAAGAGAAAGTAGAGATGAGACACATGGACAATGGAGCAGAGATGAACAGAAGATAAACCTGCCTTTAGTTCCTGCCTTTAGTTCCTACCTGTGTTCTCCTCCTGCTGTGGCTCAGCACGTTCAGTCTGTCCCTCCTGCTCCTTCTCCTGCTCCTTCTCCAGCTCCTTCTTCTGGGGTGGGCTGGCCTCCACGCTAGGGGGTTTCAGGGGGCTCTCGCCTCCCATGCTGCTCCGGGGCGACAGCATCTCCATCTCCTCCCCCCAGTCTGAAACAGGCTGGTGGCTTTCCAGAGGGAGGAAGGGGCTGAGGGGCTTTCCTCCCTCCGGGGACTCCTGAACTGTTGGTGGGGGGATGTGGACCTTCGGCCTGAGGGGGCGCTGCTCTTTGGGGCTTCCTGCTGATGTTGGTCGTGAGCGAGGCGTGGGGGAGTTGTCTTTGCTCTTGGTTTGTTTCTCTCTCCCGACGTCTTTCTTCTCATCGCCTCTGGAGTCCTGTTCTGAGTCGCTGCCTTCGTCGTCTTCTCCACCACTGGCATCCTCCCACTCTTCATCGTCGTCTTCTCCGTCTCCGTCCTTCACCTCCACCTGAGGGGAACAAATGGAATGAGGAGATTACTGGGAAAGTTATTGAAGAGTTTGCTTTTTTTTTTTAAACTGCCACAACTAAGCATTTGCTGATAAGGTCAACCTGGTAGCAAAGGTTGGGCTATTTACACTCAACACTCAACATTTACTCTCCTTTGTTGACATTTAGATTTGTTTCTACCAACTCCTAAGGGACATTTCTGGCTTTCGCTTACTTTATATTAATGCTGTGTGTCGCAGGCAGGTAGAATACAGCATTCAGACATTCAAACAGCCTATAGAGTTGAGGGGAACTGTAGTCGGTAAAGTAAAATATGACAAGAAGATATACATAATAGCTTTATTTTTATTTATTTTTAAATGTTAGTTGAATGCTCCATTTATTTTGTAAATGAGGAGGAATTAAGTGTTTGCGAGTTAACAAGGAAATATCTAGTATCAATCATGTCTAGTTTAGTCCCTCGTTGTGCCTCCACCTGCTGTACATTAACGGTGATGCTGCCGGAATGGTTCGTCCCGATGAAGCCCCCTACCTTCTGTGTTGGAGGAGCGTTGGATTTTTCTGCCTCCTTCTCGTTCTTTTTAGCCCTCTGCTCTCTCTTCGTCTTGTCTTCCTTCTCTTTCTCCTCCTCTTCTTCTTTGTCTCCCTCCCAGCGGTTGTCATGCATGCTGCGAAAGATACGCACATATGTGTTCAACACAACATTTGTGATGGAAGCAGCAAACACCAAACTCTCATATATATATATATCAGTGACGTGCGGTGAGGTTCATGCTGGTGACGCACTGACTCTTTCAGAGTCAGATTTACAAATATTATATTTTGACCTTAATCGAAATGTTCGGTTATTATCAAAAGCTTTTTTGGTCTGATGCTTCGATTCATTTTAAACAGACTGTTCAACAAAAGGATACTCACAATCTAAATATTGGATTGTTCTTTCTTAGTAAGATCCCATTTTCATTACCAATGTGGTCTTACCTTGACTTGAAGATGAAGTCCATGCTATCCTTCTGGACAACAATCTCTATTACTTTTTTGTAAAAGTCCTCCTTATCTTCCTCTAGTTTCAAAAGTCTAGTTTGTTGTTTGCGTCTATACCGTCTCTGCGTAGAATAACAGTAGCAACAAGAACCTGTGGGCTCACGTTCGCCCCCTTCAGTGCGGCAGAGGTTATGGCTGCCTCCCCTGGTGCTTTTTTCATTGCCGTTGTATGATGAGACCAGCGGGCCTAAATATCATATATACGTGAAATAAGTTATTTAGAGACGATGGATGGCGAGGATAAATGTAATAAAGGGATCTACAAACATTACATTGGTGACAGTGAGATGGTGCAGGCATGCGCTTAGGGCCCGCTTTCCAGCCAGTTTCTGTGGGGTGACGCATTCTGAGGTGAGGCAGAGCTCATCTGTGCCTCACCTCACCCCAGAGTAACTGGCTTGAGCGCGCTCACAAAATAAGTGCCCGCGCTACATTAGTGCCCGCGCTACATTAGTGCCCGCGCTCCAGCAAGTTACTGTGGGCTTACGAGAGGCAGAGCTCGTCCCTGCCTCACTCCTCATCGCTCCCATGTAGTTGTAGCGGAGCTCGGCAAATTTGCTGATTTTGACTATAAAAAGCGATTGGAATCAAACATAAATCACATTTACAACACAGATCAGTGGAGACATTTTATTATTATTACTATTTAGTTTTTCTTTAGTTGTTTTTCCGTTACATTGGAGTATGACAGGTGAGGCTCTGCCTCCCCTGCCTCCCCTGACTGCACGTCGCTGATATATATATATAAAATTATAGTCTCCCTGCAAACATAACATACCTTTACCAAGTAAACTAATCAAGGAAGAGAAAGTAAAAAAAATATAGAGTAGTAATGCTTTATTATAAAATGTAAAATGAACATAAATTATCTTAAAATCCAAATCAAAAATAATAATTAGATGAACACAATTAGATGAACACCAAATCCTATTAATTATACAGTAGACTTGAGCATGATCTGAACATCTTTAGTTAACATGTATTAGAGGAGAGACTGTTGGATTTACCTGTAGCTGGCCCTCTGTCCTCGGCCCTTCCCTCTGCCGCGGTCCCCCCGTGGCCCCGGGGTCCGGCCCTGAGACATGAAGTCACCAAACGTTGGAGTTTGAGGAGGCCGCTTACTGTCGTCTGCAAGAAAAACAATTAAGAGGGTAAATCAATGGTTTTGTTATTCTTGACCTAAAAAGGGTAGGGCTAATCAGAGGAGAGGGACTGATAGATGAGTCCAGGAGAAATCCTCTGCAGGAAGTGAGATCATGAAGGCAGGAACTCATGCACCGGATCAGGCGAACAGTGTGTCAATATTCAACATGCCATCTACATGAAACCAAATACAAGACCTAATTTAAGACGGTTCTAAAAAAGTGCAGGTTAATGGTACGAAAGAGTATCTTAAACACATCTGCAGTCAGAGTGGATGTGTAACATCAGAGCTGTCCTGCAGGTCAGACTGCTGCAGAGTCTCTGAACTGAGGTCACATGTCTGATTCTCAGCTAGTGAGTGACGTGGTAAATCACCTCGGCTTTATGTAAATATAATGATCAGGAATGAAAAACATCAGGTTTGTGCTAAATGTTCTATAAAAGAAGCTGTGAATAATATATACGTGGGTTGTATTTTGTGAATGTGCCATGTCGTTAAACAAACCCTCTTAATGTCACATATGTATTATTTATCTCAGTAAGCAACCAGTGTGTTACAAAGGTCACTGTCTGATATCACTGTAGAGGACAATAAGAGATAATGAAATGAGAAACATGCTATAATGGGATGTAGCAGAGTAAGGAAATGATTCAGAGTTTATAGAAAATAAGAAGTAGGGATAAAGGAAAGAGAAATGTCCGAAAGATAGAAGAAAGTATAGCAGGAAGATGGACAGAAGACCTTAGAGGTGTGAAGCAATCAAATCACAGTTAAGGAAAGATGTGACAAGGAGGGAGGGAGGAAGAGCAGAGGAGCAGAGGAGGGAAGGAGACAGAAGGTCAGAGAGGAGATGCAGAGAGTGAGGTGGGGGGGGGGGGGGGGGAGTAGGCTTGAAGGGAGATGAGGAGGTTTGTGATAACAAAAAAGGTCAAGAAGAAGAAAACGCAAGCACAAAAGAAATGAAGGGATCAGAGGAGAATACTAAAAACTGAGAGGATGAAGAGAGCAGCCAGAGGCGTGAGGAGGACATTCGAGTCATTCCAGAAATTAGAAGTGGTTGAGAAGAAAAGGAACACACACATATACACACACAACGTGCACAGGCTTTAATGTGGGGACGGTGTAATGTCATAATCTGTAACATCCTCTGCAGCCAGACAGCAAGAAAGAAATAAAGCAGGATATGAGCAGCTGGTAGAATCATGCGCTGGTTTGAATCCCCTCATCCACAGCACGGCAGCCCTGAAGATCAAAATACTTTTGATTCAAACTCAGATTTGTGTTTGGGAGGCAGATGCCCTCTCCACATTTAAGACAGGCTTAAGACTTGACTCTTTAATAAGGCTTAAAGTTAGGGCTGGCTCAGGCTTTCCTTGAATCCTCCTGGATCCTATATTATATTTTTGTATTTTACATTAAAATTGCCATTATGTCAATTGTTTTGATTAGACTGTCATTCATGTTTGTTGATCTGTACAAATCGTACAGCCACCTGAAACAATTGTGTTTTAGGGATATATATAAACAAAAAGGATCTGCCACGAGGTACTAAGAGAAGGCAACACTAACAGTAAGAACTGTTTGAATAAAAAAGATAGGCTTAATAAATTCTCAATACTTTGATTTGTGATACAAATAGGTCAAATGTAAACAAGGCCAGTGTGTATGTTAACGTACAGAACAAGACACAATTCTAGTTTTTTGTTAAAGGTTTCAGAAAAGTGCAATTAAAACCTTTTAGAGCTTTTTTAAGATAACAGTCCTATTTCCAAACACAACAATCAAAGCTAGGTTTTAAGAGTTGTCATTAAATGCCTTCGCCAACCAATCAGGATGTACATACACAGTATGGGAAATGGTCATAATTAATACCTTGCCTTTTGACCACCAAAATATAAATTGGTTCATCCTCGAGTGGACGTTTTTGCCAAATTTCGCTTTGACTTTTCCTGGGATATCCCGGTCAGAAGGATATGAGTGTGGAAGGACATACAACAGGAACACATAACTACTCTAGTCTCGGCTGTCTCAGGAAATACAAATGGGAAAACAATTAACAAAATGTATATCAGATAAAAATCCTCAGGTGTTATTCTGTGTAGCAGAATGTTTTGTATGTGACAAGTTATGTACCGAGGTAGCACATTAAACGTTTCTGATACTTGTATACAGAAGTAAAAACTAGAATAATATGAATAGCAGTGAACTGAGTTACTGAAATGATGACTAAAGCTGATTTCTTCAGGAGGCAGAGTCAGGTTAGGGAGGCATTTGCTTTAGGGTGCAGCTGTTGTGCTTCAGACGACACAAATGAAAAAAATAAAAACACACAAACACACACAATGGAGTCTCATTCCCATGCTGTGATCTAACCTGAGGCCCGGCCCCGAGGCTCTGTTCGAGAGTTACGCCCCCGGGCTGCAGAGAGGACACACACACACACACACACACACATTACAGTACGTCCACCACACACACCTTGTTAACAAGAGATAAATCACCATGTAGACATCACTCATCTTGCTACCAAGAAAAAAACTAAACACCAGTGAGGTACACGCATGTGAGACGAGGGCCATGTCTCAATTCAGGGGCTGCACCCTTCGTACCCAGCCTACGCGGTCAACGGTAGGCTGGACGAGCGGCCTACGAAATGAGACGGTCTAGCCTACGGAGCGCTTTGTACTAACGTCACGTGATACGCGCTGTTCGGTTGCGCTGCTCCAGCAGCCTGCTAGCAAATCAGCTTACAAGCTAACTCAGCTGAAAAGGATCCAGAAACTTTACTTTTATACTTTATCCATTTTTTGGAGATCACTGACGGCAATGAAATAAAGAGGACCATGGCCAGGTAAATAAGATTAAGCTGTTCCTTTAGCCTCCAGTAATGTTACATTAGTAAGTTAACAAGTAAAATATAGCTGATGTAATTTAATCATATTATTTCATATTTAAAGTAAGTCCTACTGAAACCGGGTTAGCACCTCCACGTCCAGCACCACCGTGACCCCCCACTCTGCTGAAATACACAATTAAACATTTTCTTTTAAACCACACCTCGGAGTGCCATTTCTCCGCCATCTCCTCTGTGTGTGTGTGTGTGTGTGTGTGTGTGTGTGTGTGTGTGTGTGTGTGTGTGTGTGTGTGTGTGTGTGTGTGTGTGTGTGTGTGTGTGTTGCTGCATGTAGCAGCTGCGTTTGTGTAAACTGCCCCGCCCCCTCGCAAGCAGGCGGGGGAGAGAGATCTCTCGTCTGGATTGGAAAGATCGAAAATACAAAAAATAATGACGCATTTTGCTGTCTTTTTGCGTATTAGAAACGGAGTTAGCGACACTAAAACTGCAAATACAATGTTTGTGTAACAATAATACATATGACATATTTTTTACATAAAAAAAGACCGATAACGTCGGAGCTTAACGGTACCACGGTCTTTAATAATTCAGCCCCGGGGCCCATTTAATACCGGGGCTCGGTACCCATCCCTACGTACAGATATACTATACTATATTGGGGTGATGCTAGTTTATCATACAACTGCTGTCAACGTGGTAATATGTTGTCAAGACACTTAGAAAAGGAGCTGGGAAAGGCTTTGACGAAAGGGATGAGGCGGACTCTGCCAGCGTCTTTCTGTCAGAGAAACACACCATGAGGACACACAGCAGTGGAGAGGCAAAGCCACTCCAACAGGTCGACTCCTGGGATTACCACAGGCCCTCAGAGAATCTTTTCACCCTACGGGGAAATCTCAGTGGCTGTCAGGGTTAAATGTAAATTACCAAAGAAAGTCAAGGCACTAAAATCAAATGTTATCTTATGTTACTGTAAAGTTTCATAAACAGCCTCATATTAGCATCGTTATGCTGGCTTTTGTTTTAAATTCAAATTATTAACATTGCGAAACCCACACAAACCAAATAACAATAAATAAAACAAAAATAGGTTAATTATTCAATTTTTTTGATCCATACCAAAATAAGTAATAATTGAAAGAAGTAACTTTTGGTTTAATGTGGGATTAATCAGAAAAATAATCATGCATCCCTCTGGAGTTCCGGGCTGTTTTTACCTTTACTTCACAGAGTGATAATGAGTTGCGCCCATAGACTGTATATATAAATGGACGTAGTGTCCGTGACGTCACCCATAGGATTCTGCAGAGTTGCCGAGAAGCCCTTAGTAGGCGGAGTCGGCCACTAACGGCTCGACTGTGACGTCAGAGTCTAATCCCGCCTGCTCCAAATAAGGGCAAAGAGGCGGAGCCGAGGCGGGACCTGCTGCCTCCGAACTGGAAGTAAACAGAGCTAGCTCAGGCTAAGAAGCTAAGCTAACATGAAATACATGCATACCAAGTTACTGCTAACAGTGTAGTTCCCCTATATAAACGTTACATTCATAATCAAATGAGACAATCTGCAAGAGAATTAGCTATATTTTGTTATTCTTAATGCTTGTCATTCACACGTTGAGAAAAGACGGACTCCACCGCCCGGACCTAACGGAGCCGCAGTGGGCTAGCTCCGGGACGCCGGCTGGAGCTAGCCCCCTGCGGCTCCGTTAGCTCCGGCGGCCACCACTGGGATAATTGGGTCCCCTATTAACATTTGCTCCCGTTTAGCATTATGGGCGTCATAGCCATAGACTATAAAAGTCTTACCCAAGGCTGAATCATAAACTAAAATGTATATGTATGTATAAAGGGTTACGTCCTTAGCTGGCTAATAAGTAGCAAGCTAAGCTACCAAGCACACAAACACCTGCGAACGGGGTTAACATGTATAGTATTATAATTTTAGACTTCTTGGAAGTTCTGTTAGTACATTCAAGCGCACAGCACAACATTTTAATTGTCTGGTATTTGTAACAATATTCCCTAAAAGCAGCGACGTGCAGTCAGGGGAGGCAGAGCCTCACCTGTCATACTCCAATGTAACGGAAAAACATGAAAAAAACTAAATAGTAATAATAATAATAATAACATATCTCCACTGATCTGTGTTGTAAGTGTGATTTCTGTATGATTCCAATCGCTTTTTATAGTTAAAATCAGCAAATTGGCCGAGCTCCGCTACAACTCCTACATGGGAGCGATGAGAAATGAGGCAGGGACGAGCTCTGCCTCACGTAAGCCCACAGTAACTGGCTGGAGCGCGGGCACTAATGTAGCGCGGGCACTTATGTAGCGCGGGCACTTATTTTGTGAGCGCGCTCAAGCCAGTTACTGTGTGGTGAGGTGAGGCACAGATGAGCTCTGCCTCACCTCAGAATGCGTCACCCCACAGAAACTGGCTGGAAAGCGGGCCCTAAGCGCATGCCTGCACCATCTCACTGTATGTCACCGATGTAATGTTTGTAGATCCCTTTATTACATTTATCCTCGCCATCCATAGTCTCTAAATAACTTATTTCACGTATATGATATTTAGGCTCGCTGGTCTCATCATACAACGGCAATGAAAAAAGCACCAGGGGAGGCAGCCATTACCTCTGCCGCACTGAAGGGGGCGAACGTGAGCCCACAGGTTCTTGTTGCTACTGTTATTCTACGCAGAGGCGGTAGACGCGAACAACAAACTAGACTTTTGAAACTAGAGGAAGATAAGGAGGACTTTTACAAAAATGTAATGGAGATTGTTGTCCAGAAGGATAGCATGGACTTCATCTTCAAGTCAAGGTAAGACCACCATTGTAATGAACATGGGATCTTACTAAGAAAGAACAATCCAATATTTAGATTTTGGGTATCCTTTTGTTGAACAGTCTGTTTAAAATGAATCGAAGCATCAGACTAAAAAAGCTTTTGAAAATAACCGAACATTTCGATTAAGGTCAAAATATAATATTTGTAAATCTGACTCTGAAAGAGTCAGTGCCTCACCAGCCATGAACGTCACCGCACGTCACTGCCTAAAAGGCACAATCACCACGAACACGGCTAAAGGGTCAAGTACAGTAACTACAACTAACTAACGTTGTAGCCTCTATGGTTGTAGCCTAGCAGAGTGGACAAGTTGCTGTTAGCTGACAGTGAGGCATGTACATGTCCATCAAAGTGACCACGCCCTAATTTATGCAAAAACTTTAAGGCTTAATATTAATTAAACAGATGAGTTGAGAAAAAATTCACCCCCCACACAGTAGTCATGAAGGGGGAATCTAACTATACAGAGAATATGGTTTTTTGAACCACGATGTAAACATGTTTATTTCTGCTGTAAAGTTGGGCATTTTAACATGGGGGTCTATGGAAATTGCTCCCTTCTGCAGCCTGCTCCTACTGGCCACTAGATGAACTGCAGTGTGTGGCACTTCCGTATTGGCGTCCCGGCTCTTCCCCAGAGTTTGCCGCTTGGTTGCACCGTTAAAGGAAACTGGGTTTCTTCTGAAAGGCCCTAGCCACGCGGAAATGAAAACGAACCGAATTCGATATCAAAAAAGTCTTCCATCCACACGCATAGGCACCAGAAACGTGTCCTTCCACACGAGACCGCTCGACCCGCTGGAGACGCTGTAGTACCTTCTGGAGACGCTGTAGTGCCTAAGACCAGGCTTAAAACCAGAGGGCATCGAGCTTTCGCAGCGGCAGGCCCTAGGCTCTGGAATACTTTGCCCCTCCATGTGAGGTCGGCCCAGACCCTGTTGTTTTTTTAATCAACACTTAAAACTCACTTTTTCTCTTTGGCTTTTGTTTAATTATCTATTTATTCATTTATTTATTTATCTATTCATTTAGTTGTTTATTTTAATATTTATAACATAACATAGGATTTCATAAAGTATTTTAAAATAGTTTATACATTATTCAAATATAGGAATAGTAGATAGGATTACTTAAAATATAGTACCTTATATTTCATATTTTTTCATTTTAGACCCTTGCGGTTTATTCTTAAAAACCCTTACCCACCCCCCATTTTCCCTCTGCTGGTCTATGGCCTTGTAGAAGGTAACGGGGTACAGAGTCGATTAGATAAGCGGGGGAGTGCATCTGACGAAGAGATAGGTTGTTGTGCTCCCTATCTCTGTTTCTTATCCTATATCTAATAGAACTGCTCGGGTCTTGATAGATTGAGTGGGGAAGTTCATGAGATCTTTCTAGAGGGTCATCAAGAATAACTTTTATCCAATGACCTTTTCCCTCTCTGTCTGTGTCTGTGTATTCTCTTGTTCCGATTAACCCAGCCAAATCTTTGTTCTTGTTTTGTATCTATATCTACGCCGGGAACCGGAGTCGAGGCTGATCCTCTTGCTGTAGTCCTGTGTCTTGGATCCTCTATCCTGAGTTCTGGATTAAGTCGTGGACTTCGGGTCGTGGCTGAACCTGTCTCTGCGGTCCTGCCTTGGGTCTCGTCATGCTGCTTCCCTGATGGCTTCCACAGGATTGTAGCTGACATCCTCGTAGATTCATCTTCTTAT